TTTTTTTTTTAATTTTTTTTTTTCAACGTTTATTTATTTTTGGGACAGAGAGAGACAGAGCATGAACGGGGGAGGGGCAGAGAGAGAGGGAGACACAGAATCGGAAACAGGCTCCAGGCTCTGAGCCATCAGCCCAGAGCCCGATGCGGGGCTCGAACTCATGGACCGCGAGATCGTGACCTGGCTGAAGTCGGACGCTCGACCGACTGCGCCACCCAGGCGCCCCGCTACCTGTAGTATTTTGATTGAGAAACAATAAGTATCACTCCTCCCTGCCGTTATAAGGTTATTTTATGGAAGTATTGTTTATGTTTTTTGGAAGTTTCCTATTAGAGGGTGCCTGGGTGGCTCAGTCGGTTTAAGAGTCCACCTTTGGCTTAGGTCATGATCTCACTACTCGGGAGTTTGAGCCCTGTGTTGGGCTCTGTGCTGACAGCTCAGAGCCTGGAGCCTGCTTCGGATTCTGTGTCTCCCTCTCTCTCTGCCCTTCTCTCGCTCACGCTGTCTCTCTTTCCTTCAAAATATAAATAAACTTTAAGAAATTTATAAAACTTTTTTTTCACATTTATTTATTTTGAGAATGCAAGTGGGGGAGGGGCAGAGAGATGGGGAGAGAGAATCCCAAGCAGGCTCTGCATTGTCAGCATAGAGCCCAACACAGGGCTCGATCGCACAACTGTGAGATCATGACCTGAGCTGAAATCAAGAGTTAGTCCCTCAACCGACTGAGCCACCCAGGCACCTCCTGATGGTTAATTTTATGAAATTATAATACATATATTAATATCAGGAAATTGACATTGGTCTAATGTGTGCATATGGTTGGTTCTCTGTCATTTTTTTTTTTATTTTATATGTGTAGATTTGTGTAACCACCACCACAATCAAAATGCAGAGCTGTTCTACCATCACAAGGAACTCCCTTCTTGTCAGTGTCATCTAGTTTCATAACAAAAAATATCATGCTCTCCCCAGACTTTCACAGATCTGATATTTATGGGTAAAAAATGGCATCTTATGTATTTCTAATTAAAAAAAATATATTTCCAAAGATTTTCAGTTTATAATTTCCCTTGTATAGTACTTTAGGATGGAGTTGATGCATACTGAGAAACTGAGGAAGGAAAAGGAAGAATTTGAAAAAGCCAAAATGGATGTGGTAAGATCCGAACGTGTCATCACACATTAACAATTAATAGTGCTTTGAGCCTTCTTAGGAATAAGAGACAATTTTTTAAATGTATTTTTTATTTAATGCCGGTTTTGAAACTTTGAGATGAATCTAGAGTTGATTTAATTAAACGGGCTTAGTAATAAAAATGGAATTCTGTGCTTTAAAAATACACATTTGGACTGTTTGAAGTAGTCCTCAAAATAATTTATTATTGATAGAAGGGTAAATGGTTTCCCTAATACTTTATGGTTTCATTAAATGACATACTAATGGGTTGAAGGAGCTCGAGGAAGGTTGTGAAATGTGTGGTTCCTAGCTTTTTATATAATTTTTTTGGTGACGGTAATTTTAAAGAAAAGTTTTAGAATGTTTGAGCTGAAAAAGGAACTTTGCTATCATCTGTTATTGTGGTTTCCAGCTGTGAACTTTTTTATTCAAATAAAAGTTTACCCAGAAGGGTAAACAAGCCATGTAAAACCTGACCTGCTCTGGTCTAAGTAGAGTCAGGCCTTCAGCCATGTGATCTTGCTATTGCTCTAGGAGCCTGAGAGAACACATTGGGAAGGTCAGTGGTCTTGTTCAAGCTGCACATTTTACAAGTGAGGGAAGTGGCCCAGAGAGAGACGTGGTTTGCCAGAGGTCATATGGCACAGATAGTCTAGGGCTGTTAATTTTTATCCTAGTGCTTTTTCTAGTTATTGGCACTGTCACATTATGTTTACTATAATACTCTTTAGGGGAATCTTGATTATCCTGAAGAAATCCTTAAGGGCGAGTTGGCACGGATTATCTACAAAAATTCTGTGAACATAATTAAAGGTACGTATGTTTTGAATATTTATTTATGATGGAAAGTGCAACATTCTATTTTTATGACATTCTATTTTATATTTTAATGCTTATTTTTTAGAGAGAGAAAGAGACAGAGTATGAGTGAGGAAGGGGCAGAGAGAGTGGGAGACGCAGAATCTGGGGCAGGCTCCAGGCTCCGAGCTGTCAGCACCGAGCCCGATGCAGAGCTCAAACTCACAAACTACAAGATCATGACCTGGGCTAAAGTCAGTCGCTTAACCGGCTGAGCCACCCAGGCGCCCCGGTCTTCCTCATTTTAAATAGAACATTGTGGGGTGACTGGGTAGCTCAGTCAGTTAAGCATCAAACTTCAGCTCAGATCAAAATCTTGCAGTTCATGAGTTCAAGCCCCATGTCAGGCTCTGCACTATCTGCACGGATAATGCAGAGCCTGGTTGGGATTCTCTCTCTCTCTGCCACACCCTCCCCACACATATTTGCATTCTCTCTCTCTCAAAATAAACATAAAAAAAATTAAAAGGGAAGAAGACCTTTAGCTAATGTTGAAAATTTATGTTAGAAATTCTGTTAGAGTGTATATAAAATTCTATGGGAATAGTGTCCTGTTTCTTTCAGAAAACATTGATAGTCCCTTAGGGTATACTTGAACATTTCAGTAAGTTTATCGAGTATTTAATTCACATGGAGAGTTGGAAAGAAATAGGTGATTTAGAACATTTCTTTATGCTTTTAAGATGTTTAGAAGAAAAGAAGTACTTAATGAATACTCTAAAATATCGCTAATGACTTTACTTGTGTAGTGGGGCTATGGGTGATTTTTTTTTTCTGTTTTGTCCTATTTCTCAAATAATACAAAAGAATTAGCTCTAGTACATCAAGAAAGTGGTACTTTCTTGTAGAAGAAAGTGGTTCTTTACAGTAAAATGACACTTGACAGTCTTACTCCCCTTCCCAATTTTTAAAATTTTAGGTGCAGAATTTCACGTGTCACTGCTTACAATTGCACAGCTATTTGACTTTGCCAAAGATCTGCAAAGAGAAATTTATGATGAGTAAGTAAGTTCGTGGAAAGGTGAATATGTCTATTTCCGATCTTGTGGTAAAAGTTTGAGGTTGGGTGTTTAGAAAGAGGGAAAGAAGACACTATGCTAAGTCCTTGGAAGAAAGCAAGGTTTTAGGGCTATTGTATCATAGTAAGTCATAGAAAAGTAAATATCTCTGGAGAACTTGTTTGACTCACTTCTGGGCTTCCCTTGGGAGTTAGTTTGTCTTTACTCAGTGACAAACATATCGTACAGCTGATATCAAGACGTATATTTCTGCTGTGCTGGTATGTCTTTTGTCCATAGAATGAGAGTGGTCCTCATAAAGGTTTGCAGGTGATTGCTGTAGGTTATTTTATTCTTTAATGTTGGAGCATATTGTTTGAGAATTTTTTGCAGCCTGCCTTGTGGGTACATCACTCTTAGGTAGCACCCCTTACTTTCACAGGAGATAAAACAGAACTTGGCTTGTTTGCCCTTTGGATGCCTTCAGAGCTTTGGTAGAGGTTTAGGTCATGCTTTTTTTTTTTTTTTCTTGCCTCTGTTACAGAAAATCAAGAGCCTGGATATAAGGTTCTCCAGGGCTCGAGGACTGTCTCATCACACATACCTGTTGATTTAACTTTGAGAACTAACTTGTGAATGAAATCTGAAACATTCTGAAACCTAATAAATGTGCCACAACTCTGATTGATTGACAAAATTTATGCAGTGAGCGTGAAGATCTCTGGAGGGCTTTCTGGGGAATTGTCTCCTGGTAATGGAATTGTTAAAGGGGTGTCCCGAGTGCACTCTTAAATTTTTTTTTTTTTTTTTTTAACGTTTACTTTTGAGAGACACAGTGTGTAAGCAGGGAAGGGACAGAGAAAGGGAGACAGAATCCGAAGCAGGCTCCAGGCTCCAAGCTGTCAGCACAGAGCCCGACACGGGGCTCGAACTCATGAACCGTGAGATCATGACCTGAGCCCAAGTCGGCTGCCCAAACGACTAAGGCACCCAGGTGCCCCTGGGTGCATTTTTAGAGCATTGGGAACTGTCTGTTTGATATTGAGTTAAGTTTCGTGTCATAGGGCTGATGCCAGCGAACTGCTTTTCAGCCTTCAGGCTCTACACACAGATGACCCTCTCACTTGGGATTATGTAGCACGGCGAGAATTAGAGATAGAGTCACAGCCAGGAGGAGAGCAGCCTGCGACAAAACAAGCCAGAGCAGTGGAGGTGGGCCGGAAGGAGGAGAGGTGCTGTGCTGTGTATGAAGAGGCGGTGAAGACTCTCCCTACAGGTGAACTTCACCAAACCTTGGGGTGGTGTCGAAGTTAGTATTCACGAATGGGAAGCCGAAGCTTCTGTTCCCATTACCAACGTCAGTTTCAGGATTCTCTCTGTGCTAGTTTACAGTGTGCCTGCCTTTCCAACTTGTTCTGTGGTGGTCAAAGATGGAGCTTTGATGACCTTCCTCGATAGTAGTAATGGTATCCGTTTGGGGGAAATGGTACATAGGAAATGATAATTCAGAAGATTGTCATTCTCTAATTCTCTTTTCATACAGACTTGCTTCCAAATTTTATATATTGGAGTGTTAATGTTTAATTTTTGAGAGAGAGAGAGTGTGAGCAGGGAAGGAAGGGGCAGAGAGAGGGAGACACAGAATCTGAAGCAGGCTCCAGGTTCTGAGCTGTCAGCGCAGAGCCCGATGCGGGGCTTGAACTCAAACCAGCCATGAGATCATGACCTGAGCTGAAGTTGAACGCCTAACCGACTGAGCCACACAGGCTGCCCTTTACTTTTTATAGTTAAGTCATTACTCAGTATTTGAGATGTTTGATTAGCTGTAATCAGAATAACTAGTTTTTTCCACCGGACTAGCTTAAACCCTTTTTCAGAGGAATTTTCCCTTCAAAGGAAAGATGTATGATGACTGTTAAATGGAGAGAACTAGTGATGTGATCCGCATAATCTGACTTTTCCAGAGGCGATGTGGAAGTGTTACATCACGTTCTGCTTGGAAAGATTCACCAAGAAGACAAGCAGTCAGTTCCTCAGAGAGAAGGTGAGGACCTACGTTACATGGTTATAGTGGCTGACTAGAAAGTGACTGTTTTCTGTAAAAAGAGCAGACACGTGGCTCCTTTGGGGCCTGGGACAGCTTCCAAGAACTTAACCTGAGCTCTTTCCCCTTGTGGTTGACCTGTCATTCTGAAGGTCTGAGCCTGCTGTATCCTTTTTCCGGCCACCTGATTAAGAAGCACCCTGTTACTGGGCTGTGTTTGGTGTGGCTGTGTAGCTGGTCTAATCATAAGGGAAACTACCTCAAGTTCCTTTTCTTGGTTGCACTTGTTCCTGTCAGAGGCCACAGACCCCTGTGGGGATGTTTGTAACGAACTGAGAGATTTTTCTGATTTCAGAGGCTGGAAAGAACCATGATGGCGTTCAGGAAGGCACATGAACTCAGACTTCTACCGGAATTTCAGTACAAGCAGTGGGTAAGGGCACATTCACTGCCAGTAACATGTACTTGATTCCAGTTGGCTCATGATGGTGTCATGTGTTTTAATATATTGTTATGTGTTATGTGACTAAACCCATTTGGATGTTTGGTATGGAAGATGAGTGACATTACATTTGACTCTCGGTATTTGGTATATGCCAGAAATGAAATCTGTACAGTAAAGAAAGGAATGTTACGTGGTGGAAAATAGCCAGAATAGGGAGTCGCAACTTGGGTTTATTTTGTTTACCCATACATCTTGTCCTGAACATCCCTTTCCTGAATATATGCCTAGCCCACATTAAGCATTGGTACAATAAAAATAAAGAGAGATTAGATGTGTTCCTGTGTTTCAGAAGCTGACATTCTAGTAAGAAACCTGTTAACCCAGGCCTACTTTCTGGGGTGGGTGAGGATTGGTATGGAGACCAGGATAATGCGCTGAGGTATTTCTACATTGGGTTTTGTCACTTACTAGCTAGATAACTTGGGCAAACCACTTAACTTTTCTGAGTTTGTTTACTTGATTTTATTTTTATTTATTTATTTTTTTTTAATTTTTTTTTTCAACGTTTATTTATTTATTTTTGGGACAGAGAGAGACAGAGCATGAACGGGGGAGGGGCAGCGAGAGAGGGAGACACAGAATCGGAAACAGGCTCCAGGCTCCGAGCCATCAGCCCAGAGCCTGACGCGGGGCTCGAACTCACAGACCGCGAGATCGTGACCTGGCTGAAGTCGGCCGCTTAACCGACTGCGCCACCCAGGCGCCCCTGTTTACTTGATTTTAAAACAGTGTTAGTGAGGAGCATCTGGGTGATTCAGTCAGTTGGGTGTCCGATTCTTGATTTCGGCTCAGGTCATGGTCCCAGGGTTGTGAGATCAAGCCTGGCCTTGGGTTCCGTGCTGAGCATGCAGCCTGCTTAAGATTGCCTCTCTCTCCCTCTCCCTCTTTCTTGCATGCATTGTGTGTATGTGTGTTCTCTCTCTCTCTAAAATTAAAAAAAAAAAATAGTGATCCTTGTTTTTGGCAGCTCACAAAGTTGTTAACTTACACAAAAATGTTCGTATGTTAACATTTAAAAAATACTTGTTAAGAGTTTATTTTTGTTTTTGAAAAAGATACAAAGGGCAAACAGGGGAGGGGCAGAGAGAGGAGGAGACAGAATCCCAAGCAGGCTCTGCACTGTCAGCACAGAACCCGATGCACGGGGCTCGAACTCACCAACCCTTGAGATCATGACCTGAGCCAAAATCAGGAGTCGGATGCTTAACCGACTAGGCTACCCAGGCAACCCTTAAAAAATACTTTTTAAATGTTTATTTATTTTGAGAGAGAGTGAGAGAGAATGTGGGGGCAGACATGGAGGAGGGGTAGAGAGAGGGATAGAGAGAACCTCAAGCAGGTTCCATGCTGTTAGCACAGAGCCTGACGGTGAGCTTGATCTCATGAATTGTGAGATCATGACCTGAGTCGAAATCAAGAGCCTGATGCTCAACCAACTGAGCCACCTAGGTGCCCCCAAAATACTTTTTTATTTATTTTTTATTATTTATTTATTTATTTTTTAATTTACATCCAAGTTAGCATATGGTGCAATAATGATTTCAGGACTAGAATCCAGTGATTGATTCATCCCCTATGTATGACACCCAGCGCTCATGCCAACAAGTGTCTTCCTCAGTGCCCCCTTTCCCATGTAGCCATCCTCCCACCCACAACCCCTCCAGCAACCCTCAGTTTGTTCTTTGTATTTAAGCATCTCTTAAGTTTTGTCCCCTTCCTTTTTTTATATTATTTTTTCTTCTCTTCCCCTGTGTTCATCTGTTTTATATCTTAAATTCCACATATGGGTGAAGTCATATGATATTTATCTTTCTCTGACTAATTTTGCTTTGCATAATATCCTCTAGTTCCATCCATGTTGTTGCAAATGGCAAGATTTCATTCTTTTTGATCACTGAGTAATACTCCATTGTGTATGTGTGTCTGTGTGTGTGTATGTACATATATGCATACATACATACATATGTACACACATACATTTCTTTATTCATCCATCGGTAGACATTTGGGCTCTTTCCATACTTTGGTTATTGTTGACAGTGCTGCTATAAACATTGGGATGCATGTGTCCCTTCGAAACAGCACATCTGTGTCCTTTGGATAAATACCTAGTAGTGCAGTTGCTGGGTCGTAGGGTAGTTCTATTTTTAATTTTTTGAAGAACCTTCTTATTGTTTTCCAGAGAGGCTGCACCAGTTTGCATTCCCACCAACAGTGCAAAAGAGATCCTCTTTCTCCGCATCCTCGCCAACATCTGTTGTTGCCTGAGTTGTTAATGTTAGCCATTCTGACAGGTGTCAGGTGGTAGCTCATTATGGTTTTGATTTGTATTTTCCTGATGCTGAGTAATGTT